AAACTAGCAAACACCTGTTGCGTCGCGCCTTACGCCACATTGCGCCGGGTGCAGGATAGGGCTCTTTGTCTTCTTCTCACCGTAGTTTTTAATAATGTTAATTCCAGAGAGATCGCCTCAAACCGTAAAGAGCTGGTGAAGCTGGGCATCACACACATCCTGAACTGCGCTCAGAGCAAATGGCGCGGCGGTGCGGAGTATTACGCCGGCATGAACATCACCTATCACGGCATCGAAGCCCACGACTCGCCATCCTTCGACATGAGTGTCAACTTCTACCCGGCGGCAGAGTTCATCCACAGAGCCCTCAGCGCTGGAGGTCAGTTCACACACACACACACACACACACACACACACACACACACACACACACATCAACATCTCCTGGTCATTTCATCCACTCGTGGTTAATTCTGAGTCTTCATTTGGCCTCATCTTTCTCTGTTTTTCAGCACATGTGATGGTTTCTGCTGATGAGCCTTATTCTGACACATATTATGGGAAAATGCTTTGAAAATATTCATAAACTCAACACACACTGTTCTGATTAGCCGCGTTTCCACTATCGCGCCTAAAGTGAGCGAGCCAGGGCGAGCCAAGGCCAGTGGCGTTTCCACTGTCACTTCCGGGGCCTAATCGGGCCAAAGCAGGGCTTTCTCGGGGCCAGCGGCCGGCCTTTTTCGGCCCGCCGAATACCTTGGGCCAAGGAGGGCCAGCTGGGGCTTCGGGGCGGAGTGAAAGGAGAGGCGGGCAGTTTTCTGATCGCACATGAGTACATGCGCCAAACAAATAAACAAATAAATAGATAAGGGAAAGAAAACATCTAGCCTTATAGTCTGTGGTCTTTTTGCGTATGATCACCCTTATGTTTCCCTTTTAAATGTAAGGCTGCTGCATAAAATAATAAAGTAGTTTTAATTTATAGTGACGTTCTTTGCTGCGTCCTCCTTTTTTTCAATAATGCATAATAATCTTTACACTGTATTAAAGACACAGCAGACAGTAAAGGTTTTCGAGAGTTTTTGTCAAGTTTAAAAGGTTTTTTTGTGCGCATTTAAATGCCTGTATGTGTATGTGTGTGTGAGACCGGGCAAAAGCGCTCCCTTCACAGCTCTGGTGATGCCGCGAGTGGGCAGATATTACACAATATAAATACAACAGAAAGACATAAAACTTCATTAATATTACGTGCCCACTTTCGTAGACTTATATGACACTAACAATATAGTGTCATATCTTGATAAAATATCCTAAGGTAGCCTATATTGACATATAATTTAAAGAATTACAAATATCGGATATATATATAAAATCACATTAAATAAATAAACCAATATAAATTAAACAAAAGCTAGCTATAACAATGTAGGTAGCCTATATACAATACATAAATCAAACCGTTTTAATGCCACATATAGCCTAACTTTCATTTTACAAAGACCTGTCTGAAAAAAAAAAGGTTTTAGATATTTTCTAAAAACAATAAACACCGGAGAAGGTTTGAAATATTATTTATAAAGTATTTGGATACGATGATTTTAATCAAATCGCGCAAACAGAGCATTATTTGGGTGAGTGAAAGCAGAATCTAGCCTATACCTTTTTTTCTGTCACCCAGTCCTGCGCAGCGCTCGCAGCTTTAAACGCATCGGGGGAAAATCCAAACACAAAATGTGTTCTATATCCTCAAACAACTGTTCATGGTTTTATATGATGTGGTTAAATTTATAAATGAAACTTTAAATGAAGAGCTTTAGTGAATAGCTGCTGAGCGCAACAAATATGGCTATATTTTATTAGGCTACTCGCTCTTCTTGTGCTGAAACACTGAACATGACGTCTATCAAAACGAGGATGTTATAAAATACATGCCATATCGAGTTATAAAGGAGAATTTCTGTGGCTTTATATTATGGATGTGTGCGCTCTCTGTGCTGGGTCCCTTCGTTAGTGGCGAGAGCACTCGATGCACAATGCCAACAGGCGGTCGGCGAGTTAACAAATGTAATGAATGGAAAAACACAGGTCTGTGCGTATAGACATATAATGTACTGCTGTACAGTAACGTGTCGTTTGTTTGTTTCGGTTGTCTTCATTTTAATGGTTTCATTTCGTGATGATTCTATGTTGTGTGACATTTGATTCGGGGACGTTCTGTGGGCAGTGTTTGCGTGACGCGCTGCGAGCTACTAGCCCGACAGTGGAAACACGACATGATTTCGGCCTCGTTTCTCAACCTCCCGGACTATTGGCCCGGCCCGGCCCGATTAAAGCCCTGGCTCGCACTGGCCCGATAGTGGAAATGCGGCTATTGACTCCTCTTTGGTTCTGTTTCCTCTATTGTCTTCCATTATAATCACATTTATTGATTGCACAGTCATGACAGCAGATCATCATGCGTTCTTGACTGATGCTGGTTTTCCCTGATGGGATTAAGCTGTATGTGTGTCTGTGCATGTCTGTATAAGTGTGTGTGTGTTCTTCAGGGACGGTTCTGGTGCACTGTGCGGTGGGTGTGAGCCGCTCTGCTACACTGGTCCTGGCGTACCTGATGATCCGGCAGAACATGACTCTACTGGAGGCCATCCGCACCGTGAAGGACCACCGCGGAGTCACACCCAACCGCGGCTTCCTGCGGCAGCTCAGCGGGCTGGACAGTGTTCTGCGCAGCAGCCGCAGCACCACATGAACACACACACACACATATACACACAGACATGCACTCAAACACTTATGCACACACACACACACACACTCTTAAACACAGCGTCTGATCTTCACACTCTCTGCTGTCTGCTTTAAGGTCTCGGTATACTTTAAACTAATTTCGTTTGTCGTTTGAGGTGGAAACGCGTCTAACAGTCGTGTAGTAAATACAAATGCAGTACATGCTCGAGCAGTAGACGATTGCAGACACAGCCCTGCTCCTTCAGTGTGTACTACGGTTGACTTTGAGTTTAGGTAAGTGCGTTCTATATAGTACGCATGCACGAAATTAGGACCTTCTACATCCGCCTGCCGATTCTCTTCAGTTACGTCATTTCACTGGTGCATTATGGGATAGAGTAGTGTCCATCGGATGCGCACTAGAGAATCACACCAGAAGTAGTAGGTCAACCGGGAAGTTCTGGCATATTGTTAGTTTGAATAGTATGAATTCACAAATACTACTCTGTTCGCATACTATTTATAGCATACTATATAGTATGGAGGAGACATAGTGGCTCAGTGGTTAGCACTGTGGCCTCACAGCAAAAAGGACGCTGGTTCGGGCCTCAGCTGGGTCAGTTGGTGTTTCTGTGTGGAGTTTGCATGTTCTCCCCGTGTTGGCGTGGGTTTCCTCGGGGTGCTCCGGTTTCCCCCACAGTCCAAACACATGCGCTATAGGGGAACTGATCAACTACACTGGCCATAGTGTATGAGTGTGTATGGGTGTTTTCCAGTACTGGGTTGCAGCTGGAAGGACATCTGCTGCGTAAAACATATGCTGGATTTCCGTTGTGGTGAACCCTGATAAATAAAGTGACTAAGCCAAAGGAAAGTGAATGAATATATAGTATGGAAGTATACAACTTCGATTGCAGCATGTTAACGCTAACTTTTGGCTTCGTTTTGGCTCCTAAAGACCTCTAAGCTACTATTGGTCCATGTCGATTACACAGTTAGTGGGTGTGTCCTAGAGCTCCGCCTTGTTTAATGTGCAATTTGTTAGTCTCGATTCGTTTCTCCTTCAGCAGCAGAAGTCGTCGCAGTTAAACTTCGATCACAAACACACTACCTGACAGACGTCTTGTGCTGGATCAGTTGTGAAAACAACAAATTAATAACTGGTCTTCTAGTTGATGATGTGTGAAAGTGTCAGAAGGTGGATTTCTCTGCTGAATCATCTGCTGATCTGCATCAATCATCACCAATACTGCAGAAGACCTACTGGAACCAGCATGGACCAGGACTCTGACAGAAATCAGTCAAGTTTGGTGAAGGAGACATCATGGTTTGGGGTCATTCAGTATGGGGGCGTGCGAGAGATCTGCAGAGTGGATGATCAACATCAACAGCCTGAGGTATCAAGACATCTGTGCTGCCCATTACATTACAAACCACAGGAGAGGGACAATTCTCCAGCAGGATAGCGCTCCTGCTCATACTTCAGCCTCCACATCAAAGCTCCTGAAAGCAGAGGTCAGGATTGGCCAGCCCAGTCACCAGACATCAACATTATTGAGCTGATGAAGGAGGAGGCGTTGAAGATGAACACAAAGACTCTTGATGAACTCTGGGATCCTGCTGAAGCTTTCTTCTTCATTCCAGATGACTTTATTAATCAGTGATGTGAGTCATGTCAGAGATGTATGGATGCAGTCCTCCAAGCTCATGATGGAGTCAGATACAATATTCATTCTGTCTCCACTGCAGCAGGACTTTATATTCTATACTGGACATTATTTCTGTTCAGTGATGAGACTTTAGTCTGAGCAGATTCAGAGCGCACTGTCCTCATCAAATCAGTCAACATCAAGACATGATCGGATTTATTGAGCTCAAATCAGCAAAATCTAGAGGCCTTCACCTTTCATAGAGACACTTCTGACACCAGATCAGCAACTAGCAGAACAAATATTATCTGTGTTCCTAAAACATGGAGAGGACACAAGACTATTATCAGGTAGTGTAGATTATTGGTATTGCTATTTCCTATGTATTTGTGCTTTAAAAGAAGGTATTGTGGCTGTTTTCATATTATATGTAAATGTAGCCAAGAAGAACTTCATTTTGGACAGATTTTGGATGAAATTATGTTATTTTACTGCAAAAAAATGCTTTTGTTATTTAGAGTTTTGTCTTGTTTCTAATCCAAATATCTACAAACTC